TTGTGGGGGTGCATCTGTCCATTTCACTGCAGACTCTCTTTCAGGGGCTGCTGGCTCAAGGAACACCATGTCCGTGTCTGGAGACAGCATCAAGCACAGAACTCATATTCTTTCCTCTTTACACCACCCAAATAGTCCTAGAAGAGAGGCTCCAGCTGCAATGCCATTTTGGGGTTGAAACCAGCAGCCAGTAACATTTTTCTTTCCATTATTGCTGTGCAAAATAAAACAAACAAACAAACAAACAAACAAAAAACGTTCTAGAAGAAAATCTGGAAAAGTGCAACAAGAAGCCAGGAAATGGAAATAGATGGCTGGACACTCTGGGGTTGTTACAGGCAGATCTGGTTCAGTAAGATTTGCTGGGCTGCAGCTTTGCTGGCCTGGGAGATACGTTAGAAGATGATATTTAGAAATCATAAATAATCTCATTCTATTGCAGCTGTAAGCATTCTGGGAAACATGGATAAAAGTAGTGGAGAACTGAATCAAAGAACCCCCAGTGGTACAATTGTGGCAACAGCTGAAGAGAGATAAGAAACCCATATATATTATGTATGGATGAACCTTGAGAATTTTTTTATGTTTAGATTCAAGCTCAGTTGAAATTATGAGCTCCATTCTTGCCTTGTGGGAGCAACTCATGGATGCTCTCTGTTGTTCCCTCTGTTGTAGAACTGTTGGACTTAAAAATGGAAAATAGCATTAGCACTGGGCATCTAGTCCACAGCCCACCCAGGACTGCTCCTGCAGGACTTTCCTTTGCTTTAGAACTGTGGCTCTCTTCCACAGATAAATTCAGTTTGTCGAGCTACTTTATTTGTTATTCCTCTTGAATTTCACTTTTCTTGTTTTATCTTCTCTTCACAGCTTGGTATATATGGTAAGTAAATCATTGGTGAAACTCAGTATCAAAGGGTATCAAACTGCCCTGAACGTATGTCATATTGATTTGTACATGGCTATGGCTGCATTTCTACATATTGATCATTGATGCCAATACAATGAGTCTACCAACTTAGAACTGAAAGAGACGGACATTAGCAGATCCCTTCACATTAGGTATTACAGCACGCTTATACACTCACAAGATGAATATGACCTAGATATTAAAAAGGAGAAGGCAAAGAACTAAAGTTGTTGAACCTTCACTTCATCTTCTGGCTTTCTTTTCGCTGATGATAATGCATTTGCTTTTGGATGGGTCTTTTATGTGTTTCAGGAATAACAGGCATTGAGCTCTCACCTTGGAATCTTGGTTAACTACCCACTCTAAATCTTGGGTGACATTGCTGCAAATGGTCTTCTCCTTCCTCGTTTTGTGGAGCTTGCTAGTAAAGCTTGACTTCTTGGGATTACAGTAAAAGAAATGGCACATACACTGTGCTGTAGTCTGGTTGACATTCTCCGGTTACTGGATTGCAGGTTTTCTGCTGTTGAGTCATTCATGCTGTGATTTTGGTGAAAGTAACACATTCCTCAGTGTTTACCTGTTTCGCTGCTGTTGTCCCTAGCTATCAGCACAAGCCATTCTTTTAATCCTTGCTGTCATGTTCCTCTAGTGCTTTTACACACACATCTTTTTAACTAATCTTAATATTTCTGTATAAAGGAATTTGCATAGCAACATAACATAAACCATGTGCTGGCCCTGGTTTGGATGGATGGTAGGCTGCACTTCAGTTTATGCTGGGCTAATTGCACTGCAACATGTTCCAGCTTTACTGGGAGGGATGGATGCAGGTAATTACATCATGTCTCCAACCACTGGACTACATTATCTATTTAATATAACAAACCGACTGCAGTTTTCCTTCAGGCTTGTTCCGGGTCCAGTTACACCAGCTTAAAATGCCACTGTATTACTGTGCCATTACATGACTGGACATTAAGGGAAATTTTATAAACCACCTCAGGCAGGAGAGGAATGTGGGGCCATGTCATGCCTCCTCCACCCCCTGATTCTTACAAAGGAAACAGTGGGAGAGCGGTGGGTGCTGCAGCATGCCCCTAGTGCTGTCATCTGTGTAGTCTGTAGGGAAATGCCCTTCCCAGGCACAGGCACCTTCACTGAGAATGGCTATAGGCAGCCTATCTTTCTGGCTGAATGAGTGCCACCTTCCCCATCATCCTAAAAGAAGGGTTGATGCTCTGCTTACAGCCCCACTTGGGCCAACTCTGTATCTCTGCAGTACTGCTGCACATAGTCAGATGGAAAACAGTCCCCTGAGGTGTACACAGTGCTGGATGCTCAAGAGGAGACATGAACGAGCAGAGCCTAGGACTGCTTGTGAAAGCATCAGAAAGCAGCCCTATAGCAGCAGAGAAGTACATTATCTAGCTAAAAGTCAGAGCTTCCAAAATGCTCAACAAATTTAGAATGTTACTGGAATAAGAACAGCATTGTCAACCAGTGTAAAATTATACAGGCTTCTAATCCTTCTCCCACACCGCATGCAATGAGTTCCACATTGAGTCAGAAAAAGAGAAGGTCAGTGCTCCAGAGATAGACTCTGCTGTTGATCATAGGATCATGCTGTTGATCAGAGATACCTCTGTCACACCTGGGTCCACTTCAAATTCAGTGCTCAGCTTGTGTTTCTGGGGGAGTGTCAAGGGCCTTAAGCAAGATTTATGCTCAGGGGAGTGTTATCCTGGGAGGATTTCACCTGTACACCTAACTGAACACTAAGTAAACCATTTTAATGTGCTTTAGCCGGTTATTTTTGATGCTGCCCTCCAAACACTGCTGGACTTTTGCTTTGCGCAGTGACAACCAAGGAACAAGTTTACTACATTTTCCCCATTCCACTCTTAGCTTGTTTTTAGTCCTCATAGACAGTCAGTGTGACTGTCACACCAAGTCACATTTGTGTACTTAAAACTTCACATCTTGGGACAGGGAAGCCTCTCTCATGCTGGTTTTCCTGTTCTTTTTCAGTCTTGATGTTGAATATTTTGATCCTGAATCAACAAAACACTTCAGCATAAGCTAAGATGAAGGAATGACTACCTGTCTAACCAAGCTTTCTCATTTTACATATGTGCCACATAAGAGCTAAATAAATATGCCTATAAATATGGTCAATAAATGCTCACCCTAAGGTAAATAAGTTTCATACTAGAGGCAATTGGATGGACTAAGGCCTTAGTCAGATCAGGGACAGTGTGCTCAACACCTGAACAGATCACATTGCTGAAGAGCCTAGGTGACAATTTCAAAGCTTTTCCCCATGGATTCCTGCTAAAATGCATGGAAAATGGGATTCCAGTTCTTCACACTAATGTTGAAGGTTGTGCTCTACACCTGTGTTTTGCTTTCTTCAGTGACTGTTGTGATAATTTTTGACAAAATTCATTTTCTTGTTTTATTCAAAATAAGAAAAATGTCTTTTGATACTGAGAATTAGTTTGATTTTGTTGAATCTCATTCTATTCTTATCTGAGATACAGGCTCACTAACCAAGAATTAAACAGAATATAGAAGAAAGAGAAACCTAACGTAAAAAACCACCAGAAGGAAATACTGGCTCACACATCACACTATTACCTGTAGAAATCATTGCCATAGGATGGAGTCAAACCCAACAGCACAGCAAACATCAAAACACAGACTGAAGATTATTTCTGAAAGACACTGAAAGGACATAACAAAGGCTATAAAACTCCCTATTTCAGGGTTAAAACCAGAGGTAAACAGAAGACAACAAGGGGAGGGACAGATTCTCTCTCATCCATAGTCACTCCAACCCTTTTTGGCAGGATCCATGGATAGACACAGTAAAAGCCAGAATACGGTCATACAGACTAGGCACAGAACTGGAAAGTCATAATTTACATCTAGTTTTGAAGGGGCTTCAGCTTCCCCACTACTTTCATTATTAATGTCTCAATCTCATATTAGAAATGTAACGTAGTGCAAATGAAAAACTGACACAACATACCCCAAAATGACATTTAAAAATGGGAAACACATTGTACAGTTATTTGCAAGTATTATTTTCTACATTGACTGTGAAAAACTATCCTGAAGAGCTTTTTATTAGGCTTCCACAATCAAAATAACAACTCTAGCTGCGCATAAGACACCCTTTCTGTGAAGAGAGGCACTTTATACATCCCAAGCACTCAATTCTTGAAGTTTCTCGAGAAGATGGAAGTTTTATTTGCATTGTAATATTGCCTAGATTTCACAAGTTAGCACAGTGTCTTCATTTCCTCTGTTGTGCAAACATGTGGGACAGTGCTTGGAAATGCCTGTCTCCAGAAGATCGCCGAGGAAGTCTCATAGACAGAGAAAAACACAGAGGGAACAATTGCAAAGATTTATTTAGCGCATTCTGTGCTTGGCACTTAGAAACAGAGTTCCGTGCATAGGGCAAATCTTTATACACCTTTTTCTTCATACATATTTTACATACCATTTTTATTGCCCTCTTTTATATTCATAATATGGAATCCCCCACTAGGCATATAAATACATTTATCTACAACACCTCACAACAAATCTCAATAATATCTGTTTTCTGTTACTTGGTATTTGCATTTCCACACAACTTAAATGCATAACTTGCACCAAGCTACAATTGTTTTTTATTTTTAAAGGACTTGAAGAAAAAAACATAAAACAGAAAAGAAAGATGTCAAAAGGCAATGATCTATTTGGTTAAACAGAGATCATGTGGCAGGTGGGAGGCTGGCAAATAGTCAACCTCACTGTTACTGAAATACTAATGGTTTTCTATGGCAAATCTTGCATGCAAGGCCAGCTGCACTTCCAAAGAGCAGAGCTCTCTTTCTTATTGCTCTTCCCTATGAGCTCAGTCTGTAGTTTCCTCCCATTGGGTTGAGTGCTATGGGTCACGCATTCCCCACAAAGGCTGTCATCCATTTGGTTTTGGTGCATCACTTTGGGTCACATCAACAGGAGCTGAGCTCCTCTCTCCCCCATGCATCTTTCCAAAGAGCAGTCCACTGCTTATGTCTGAGCCTCGCTTGAGAGTTAAACCTTTTCTTTCTCTTCTCTCTCTCCCATGTTCACCTGCAGGCTGGGTGCTGGTACGCCTGACCATCACAAAGAAACTGTCAGTCCATGGTGAAAATGCAGAAACCACTTTGGGAGATGAAGATCCAGCCCAGCAGCACCATTCCTGTGCTACAGTGGCAGAAGGACCCAAGGGCCACTGTTTGCTTCAGGAATGGGCTGAGTTATTCCAGCAGCGAGGAACGGTCACAGAAAGGGGAGATCTTTAAAGCCATGGGCAGTGCAGCTTCAGAAGACGAAGCCTTGTAAAGACTGCCTTTCTTCAACACCTGGAGGAGACAGCACAGGGGCATGGCTCCCTTGACACCGAGAGCTCACACTAGCTGAGAGTTAATGCATAAACTGTATATTCAGATGCTTCTCTCCAGCTTCTCATTAAAGTCATGCCCTTCTCTCTGCAATGTCCAGTAAGAGCAGGCACTTCATGCCAGGTCTGGAGGCCCTGGACTACAACAAGCTGTGTTGGCTGTCAGTCGAGGCTTTCCACAGGGTTCTGTGGCACACACCTAGATGACTTATGTTCTTATTTATCATTACAATACTAGTTCTACTACAAGTTTGAAGGCAAAAAGGTACTGGGATGCGTTTATCCCTGGAAACGATGAAGGTCCAGCTGCCTTCAATGCCAAGGATAGGCATGGCTTGTTAGACCATGTGCACAGACATCTGTGAGGAGGAGCCCTGAACCGCACCGTACTGTCTGTTGTCACAGGCGTTGGCTGCCTGCTGGTTGCTAGAGGGAGGGCTGATCATGTGCATCCCGTGATCCATCCCTGTGGAAAGGTATTGCCTCTCTCCAAAGGCCCCGCTGGATGGGGAAGAGCAAAGTAAAGTGCTTTGGGAGGTGGTGAGTTTCTCTGGGCTCGCCGCCAGCCTGGGGGAAGCAGGGAAATTGTATCCATAGAGGTTGTAAGGGTTGTGCAGGGAGAAGGCGTTGTAGGAGCTCTGCTGCATGTGGCCACCACCAAACATGTGTGAAGAGGAGGAGGTGGAGGCAGGGTTGCCTGCTTGCATGACATACTGGAACTGGGAGCTAGGGAAGGATCCCAGCTGGCCGCTGTACGCCTCCATCTTGCTGTTGCTGGGCAGGGAGGAAGGAGCTGGCATTCCTGAGATCAAGGATGGAGTCCTCTGAGGCATGAAGGTTTCGGAGGGCTGCGAGGCAGAAGCGGTGCCGCTCTGGAGCCGGTTGTAGCCGCTGTCACTCAGCCCTGGGTAGCTCTGCAAGGCAGCCATGTTGCTTCTGGCACACGGGGGATAATCAGACAGGTTGAGGTTGCAAAGCTGACTCTCCCGGCAGCCCACGTTGAAAGTGTTGGGGGCCAGATGAAAGGCTGGAGGGGAGCAGGATGGAGAGAGAAGGTGAGAGGAAGCAGATGGTGATGGAGTGCCCGTGCTGGAGGTTGTCGGGGAGGTGCCTGTGCTGCCTCCTGCAAAACAAAACACATGGGAGGGTGTTCAGACCCCGGGATCACATCTGCACAGTGAGATTGTCTCATTAAAAACCAGCTTAGTTTAATAAAGAAACAGGGGTGGTAAAATGGCTGCTGGAAAACTCTGCCTTTCTTGGCGAGGGCACTCACTTTATTAATAGCATCCCTTGGTCTTTCCTGCTGCTTTTTTGTTATGACTTTGTTTTTCAGCAGAGGTTTTCTTCCCTTTTGAAATAGGAGAGGGAAGCAAGCCTGCCACAGAGTAATCCAAGGCAGTGGGAAAAGCCGTAAGGAAGCACTGCGCTCAGTCAAGCAATCTGCCATTTTTAGGCATGTTTATCCTTCCTTTTTTGGGGGTGGGAGTCCTTTCCCCTGTCTCCTGGTCTCCGGGAAGACCACCAGTCAGTGAGGTGTATGGCCCCACTGCAAACATGCTTCATCACTCACACAGGGGGCTTTCAGGCTGAAAGTATGTTGGAGTTCTGAATTGTTCAACAGTCTTTTCGGGTGGCTCATGGTGCAGCAGTATTGATTTAAGCCAGAAGTAACACCAAAATGAGGGGGGAGGACACAGGTTCAATCTATAGCCTGTTCCATGGAGCAGAGAAAGGGGATCTGTCAGGGTTTTCAGTCATGTGCTTTAACTTTAAAAGGGATTCCATCTGCTGCATTAGTGGTGTTAACAAAACATTGGTATACATGCATGTAGGTGGTATCAATGTATTATACAATATTTAGGCAATGAATGATAGAAGTTATGATTTTGCACAGCAGAGATGTTCATGTATTCTGACCCAGGAAAACAATACTGCATAATACTACCAAGAACAGTAACAAACTGAAAGGAAAGGAAGTGATGTGAAGAAGCTGATGGCACAATTTTGAGCTTAAGAAGAGATTATTTATAGATAAGATTTGGAATTAGAAGAAGCTTCCTGAGTCAACCAGGAAAATCAGTTCTGTGCTTAAGTGAATGCAGTTTTCTGGTGTGAAATATTTTTGTTTTCGTGGGAATGATTCTCATTGCATGAGAAGCCATTTCTGCATTAGGGGAGCTAACACTGAAGACACTTGTAAAAGGAGCCAAGAGGTGCTGGTGAAGAGATTTGATGAGGGGTTAAGGAAAACCAGAGGAACTAGACAGACAACTCATGAGACAGCATTTTCAAAAAGCTGGAAAATGATAGTTGAGAGGCAAAGGGGCTAGAAAAGAGGGTGTTAGACTGAGCAGCTAAAATTTAACCTAGGCAGAGACTGCACATAAAGGGACAGTTTTCCCTTGTGTCCCTTTGTGGGGAAAAAAAAAATGAAAAAAAACAGGGTTTTGATACCAGTCTAGGTCTATTGCAATACGGGAGGAACTGAGTGCTGTGCTGCTTGATGAAAAGAGAATAGGTGATGCTAATGGTTAAGAAATGCACTAGAAAGACAGGCTCTGTGCCGATATACAATGGTAAGAATGTAAGTAAGATTATATTTCTTTCTAACACATGAAGATCAAATAGAATGGGATGTTAGAGTGAAAATGTAACCTTGAGACATTAATAAACTTTGGGATTTTTTAATTAAATTGAAACAAGAGTCAATAAAAATGAAACCAAGCCTTGGGTGAGCATAGCCTGGAGTGGCTGCCATTGACCCAGGATGGCAACCCATCAAGAAAACACAGATTTCTGTGTTGCTAAGTCAAAGCAGTCTTTTCCAATATCAGCCATGAGTAGGAATGTTTGTTGCCAAGCCACTGACTCCTTTTGCATTCATTCAGAAGCATAAATGAGGAGTATTGCATCAAATCTCCATTAAAACCTATGAGAAAATCTGAAGTTTCAAATGACATCATGGACCCTCTGTATTCCCTTCTCAACATCACTGAAATTCTCAAAGTTGCTAGTGACATTTAGCTCCAGAGTTCAAAGACTTTTTGTGTGAAATTCTAGTTCAGCTTTCATTTTAAAAGGCAGATTTCCTTAGTTCATTTAAAGTCTCTGACAAACAACCTCTGGCTAACTTTTTTTGTGGTAAATTGGTACCTCCTCAAGCCTTTCTCTCCATCTTTCTATTACAGGCTGTTAATACTGCAGCAGGGTCAGCAGAAGGGAACGTCTGCCTCTAGTTTCATTGCAAAGCCTTTTTTAGTTAAAATTGCTGATAAAGGTGAGACTGAACTGAGGCAAGTGACTATAGGCACACATTTTCCTGTTAGCCCTGCACTGAAGAGGGTAACTCCTACAGAAAGGGCAGGCAGACAGCTGAGTTCGTATATCGCCACTTAGCTGTCAAAGCCCAAAGTAGAGAGGTCACATAATCACAAAAGAAATAGAGCACAAAGTGAGATGTATTAAACCCACAGTAATCCTGCACTTGATTCTTTACACCACATATTTCATGAACAAACTTCAGATGGTGACTTACTTGCTGACAGAGCCTGGAGAATAAGTAAAAATACATATGTATATATATGAGCATTTAATGATCTGTTTGAAATAAAATACATAGAATAAATGATTAAATGCAATGTCTTCATTTCGGTCTTCCTTTACCCTGTAGTTAACCTTCCAAAACTATGCAGAAGGAAAGCGTAGACACCAGTTACCTCAAGCATTAGGCTTTAAAAATCTGCTAAGGAGTTATGATCAAGTCATACCCATAACTGTGGCTTTGGATCCAGAGAGTAAAAGAGACCACTGCTTGGCAATTGTGTGAGTTGCTTACTGGTTCCAAAACTGAGAACTGCACATTTCAGGTTACTCTCAAAGAGGGACTGAAGTGATTCTGCTCTAAAGTATCCCTATTTGCAGACCAACAGAAAAACCCTGGAGCAACAACACAGCAAGTAGGAAACAAAAGAATTGAGATGTTTTTTTCTTTTTCTCCATAACTTTAAAATGATGAGGAGGTGAGAGATCTACCAACAGGAGCAAACGCCAGACCTGACAACTCTTATTCAAGAATGCTTTGCTGCCAATGCCAACCACAAGCACAAGATGCACCACGCTTCTGCTGCAACAGAGCAGAGCACAGAAGTTCCTGATCATTTACAGAATAAACTTTACACCTTTAAGAGGAACAGGAAACAGTACAAAGCAAAGCCCATCTCAGTTCACTCTCTTCAGAAAGCAAATGGCTCCACTCTGCTCTGAATGATTATTTCTTATCCATCTTTGCTGGCAGCAGTAAGTATCGGCCAAACACAACCTGGACTTTTGTTGTAAGTTATAATTTGGACTGTAGTTGTTACAAAGTCAGCCAAATACCCCTAGAGATGGCAGCAAGCCCAGCAAGTATATCCACTCCATACTACAGTCTGTGATACACAGATGTGTATGTCGTTTTAATGGGAGGCAGGGCTACAAACCCATCTAGTACATAAGGCTATGTTTAGGTCTGGTTTAAGTCAGCTGAAACCACATTTAAGCAAGAGAAAATCAATCCCTCAATAACTCTCCTCCATTCCTTTTCTCTACCCATTGTTCCCTCTGGAAATAGTTGCCAACACCAACAGCATTTACCAGCAGTGTCACAGTACCTCTCACCTCCATGCTTACCATGATTCCAAAGTGATTAATTACTATTGCATCCAGTCTCTAGATCATTTCTGGCCCTGCATACATCAGTCCTACATATGTGCAGTTAGCAAGTCACATTTATATAAAAGGTTCATAACCTCAAAGTCTCCTTTTTTGCATCTGAACCCTGACCTGCATGGCAGATGAAATTGTCTGTCCTCACAGTGTCCTGCCAATATGTCCAGGGCTTAGCCAAGCCCAGGTGCAACCCTGAAAGCAGTCTGCTCTTTGTCTGGGCATATAAGTGATAACAAGTGATAAGATTACCTTATCAAATGGACAGGAGCATTTCTAAAGAGGGGAAGTAGAGAATAATCTAGTGCAAGAAAGGTTAAAACTTGCAAACTGGACTGAAAAGTAAGAAATTGTTGGTCAGGAGGGAAAGTGGGAAAATAAGAATGAAATCATGGTGAAAGACAGGGTGATTCTGTGGAGAAGGTGGGATGTGAAGGCAAACCTTCTTCCTCGTGCCAGCAATCCCTCTTGTAACCTGATGTTTAGAAGCGCTGGTTGCGGGCCAGTGTCAAATACATGCCCATAAAGATTAGGGAAGAAACTACAGCTTCTCATCTGCATATAAATAGGAGCCGCCATTAAAATATCACCTCAAGCAGCTTATGACTGGTCTTTCTTTTCTGTCATCTATGTCCTTTTTGGTAATGGTGCTGTCTCTCCATATGTTTCAAACAGGTCCTTGCTTTTGTTTTTTACCTAGACTGAGCTTGTGTTAATGACAATTTCAGAGTCAACTGCAAATGCAAACATACCCATTCTATGGGTATGATGTGCCATAAAAGAAGGGTCTATTCTCCTGAAACATCCAGCATGCCAGAGCATCTGAAAGGGAACAGGGACCTCTCCCACACAGGGCAGGTTACATTCAGAACTAACACTGAAATGCAGATGGAAAACACATTGCCAAGCAGACAGTGTTAGCCAAGGGAGCTTTCTGGAAACAGGGAGATGGTGGGAGAGCATCAGTGCCAAGGGAGTCTGAAGTAATTGTGCATGGAAAATTTTCTGGGATCTCTTTTACAAATGACACTACAGTAGTCAGTTGACCCACAACTTATCCCAACCTCCTTTATCTGAAAGGAACACATAAATCATACTTTGTACTCCACTGCAGCATATTTTCCTTGCTAGTGTTTCCAGGCATCAGTTGCTATCACCACCTGTGGTACCTCTGTAGAAACCTCTGAGTCCTTGAAGTCTTTGCTTAGGGCAGAGGAGGAGAGCAAGCTGAAGCTGAAGTCAGCGCAAGATACCTGAACATGAGTGCTATGCCCTGTGCAATGGCAAAGACTCATCAGACAGACAAGAGCTTTGGAGTAGTCTGGGCAACTTGATTGTTGCCATTATCTGACCACATCTGCAGCCTGCAGCTCCTAGCACGTTTGGGCTCAGACAGTGATGATCTGGTATTCACTGTCTCTTAAGAGCAGATGTGGCTGAACGTCCTCCAGGCTTGTACCTTGACTTTCTAACAAGGATGGGAACCACAAGTTGATTTGGCTTAAACTTTTACATCTTGATGAGTCAGGCAGCACAAAGTTATTCTTTGAGTGCAAATTCTTCTTAAACAGCTCAGCCCGCTTCCACCTACAAGCTAGCTTAGTTTATCATGGCCACAGATAGGAGCTGCAGGTTCAGCATGGCCAGCCGATGGTCTGGGGGCTGTACTCAGCCCAACAGAACAGTGTCTAGCCCACAGCCACCATCTCTCACCTTCAGATGTCAGCAGGATGTTCCATTAATGCCAGATCCTTGGGAGTGATAGGTGCACAATCTCACTGATCGGTCTCCTGGAGGAGACAGAGCCCCTCTTCTGACACATGCCCAACACACTGGTATTTCCATGGTGTGATAGACATGTACCTGAGCACCTGATAGCACAGGAAAGAGAGGCTGTGGCCACTAGTTGTTCATCTGACTCATGGCTCTCCTCCTAGCTCTTGACTTGAGTGAATAAGCCCTCCTGAGAGGCGGTTTATATTCATTTGGGCACAGAGCCATGCTAATGCAGCTCTCCAGCTTTCCAAATGGAGCTGGCTGGGAGCTGGCATGTGTCTGGCCAGCATGGAGCATTAGACAGAGGATTCTGTCCATGCAGATGTACTCTAAGTCACTTCTGAAGTGTCTGATTTCTGTGAAGACTCTACAGATATATACACATACGTAAAGGTGCTTTCTAAAGCATGGAAGAAAGCAACTCCTACCATTTTTTTGCAATGGTCTGCCATTAGACACAATGGTAAGTAAATGTGATGGCATTCACACAGGAAACCAAATTTGCAAAGGGTAAAATCCCATTCCTGACCTGTGCACTTGTACATGCATGCACCCTAAGTATGGCTTATGACACGTACTCCTTGTCTTACAAGTTACTGCACCCCTGGTTGCAGAACAAAAATCAAGTATTTGCCCAGAGGTGGAAAACTAAGACAGTAATGAGGGAGGGTTTGTGTAGATTGCCAGGAGACCTGACTGACAGACTATGAGGCCAAGTGGGTGCCACTGTAATCATCCCATCTCATGTCCTTTAAGAGGCAGGTCTAGCAGAAGCCTGGACCAATTTCTGCTTCAAGCAGCCTATGCGTCAGTCCTGCTTGACACCCACTTGCATCTAAATGCCACAAAATCAGTTGTCATTCTTGCTCTCATATATCATGACATCTTTTGCCTTGCAAGTATAACTGGAAGGCCAAGTTCTCTTTTCTCATTCCTAGCTTTCCAAAATTCAAACCTAAAACCTTCAGAAGGACTAAAAGATGCTTCATCACACCCTTCTTGTGCCCTCACTACCCTTCTGAGCTCTCTCTTCACCACCTGGGAAAATTAAACAGCTTTGATGCCTTTTCTTTGTCCTCTCACTAAGCAAGGGCAGGGCCACCTGGTGATGCGCTGGATCTTCTCTTCATTCTTTCCCCATTCCAAGGAATGAAAAAATCCCACTTTCATGGGAATGAGAGCCATTTCTGCCTTCACAGAGTGTAGCTGCCTGTTTCCTCTCTAGAGCCTTTGGCCAATTATCAAATTATGAATCCGCTGGTAAAATGTTTAAAAGGCCCAAATGAGACCCAAAATCTACCACAAGCCAAATTTCTGGGTTGGTAGAGGAAACATAAAGACTGCTTTGTAGTTCTTTGGGCTACAGCTCACAGAACACAAAAGATGCTTACAGCAATAGATTTAAGGGTGAAAGTATGTAAGTATGGCACAAAAAGAATGAATGAAAGGAAATTTTATTTAAGGTTAGTATATTACAGAGAAAGACCTTTCTTATAAATTTGCCTCACATTTCTCACTGGAATTAATGGTAGATCTATAACAACTCAGAATAACACTTTACTTCCCTTTAGCTCTTACAGATTTCTGCAATACAAACTGAGCAGTCAGAAAGTTAGAGATAAAACCTGCCTCAGACATCCTCCAAGATAAAGTAGCTTGAAGCTCTAATGGTAAAAAACAACCCTTTTTTTCTAATGTGGGCAAAAAGTATAATTTGGGATGTCTGATTTCCCATCTATATCCAGAGCATGAAGAGGGCTTTCCCAAACAGTAAGAGACAACATACCCTTCCCAGTC